AATGGGAGATATGGCGTTAAATAAATACACCGCCCATAGCATTTCCAGTATCTCCAGATCATGAACAATGTAAAGGAGAATACATATCCAACAGGAAAACATAAGTTGGGGTGTTGTGCTGACTGACTGCTCTGTTCTCCTATTGGCTGTAATTTGGTGGATTTATATTTTAGTCCACCAATCACAGTTAAGTAAGGGATTGCTGTTCGTACGCAATATGTACGACACCACAACCAAGGAAGCAAAAGGGATCCTGCGAGGGGCCGCCTCTAATAGGGCCCCTGGGATCGCCGCTGCCTCTGGGAGGGCCCCTGGGAGCCCCACCAACCGTGGGAGGGCCCCAGGGGGCGCCGCCGCCCTTGGGAGGGCACGGGGGACTCCACAGTTCCTGGAAGAGGTCCTGGGGGTGCCACAGCTAATGGTAGGGCCCCTAAGGGATCCGCCGCTTTTGGGAGGGCCCTTGAGGGCGCCGCTGCTCCTGAAAGAGACCTGGGGGCGCCACAGCCCCTGGAAGAGGCCTTGGGAGTGCTACAGCCTCTGGTAGGGCCTATTGGGGCTCCACCTTCCCTGAAAGTGCCCTTGCAGGCGATGCCGCCCCAGGCAGGGCTCCTGGGAGCGTCGCCGCCCCTGGCAGGGCCCTTGGGGTCACGACTGCCCTTGAGAGGGTCTTTGGAGGCACCGCCGGCCTTGAAAAGGGCCCTCTAGGGACGTTGCCACCCATAGAGAGGGCCCATGGGGGTGCTGCCGTCCCTGGTAAGGCCCCCGGGTGCGCCGTCGCCCCTGGAAGGCTCGTGGGGCCACCACCACCCCTGGGAGGGTCCTTGCAGGTTCGCCGGCCAATGGTGGGACATTGGGGGCGCCACTGCCCCTGGCAGGGTCCCTGGGATCGCCGCCACCCCTAAGGAGAACCCGCCTCCTGTGGTAGGGCTCCTAAAGGCGCCGCCACCCTTGTGAGGGCTCCTAGTACCACCTCAGCATCTGGGAGGTCCCTTGGGAGCGTCCACGCCCCTGGAAGGACCCCTGGGCGCCATTGCCCTTAATAGGGCCGCTTGGGACGTCACAGCCCATGTCATGGGTCCCTTGGGGCGTCGCTGCCCCTGAGAGGGTCCAGGAGAGCATATCCACCTCTAAGGAGAGCCCCAGACGACCCGCTGCTCTTGGGAATGTCCCAGGGAGCGCCGCCGCCCCTAGGAGGGCCCTGGGGACGCCAGAGCCTCTGGAAGAGGCCCTGAGGATACCACAGCCCCTGACAGGGACCCCTGGGGGCGCCGTTGCCCCTGAGAGTGGCCCGGGGAGCGCCGGCAACCCTAAGTTGGGCCCTTTGGGAAGCCACTGCCCGTGGAAGGGCCGCTGGGTGCTCTGTTGCCCCTGGGAATGCCCTTGCGAGCGTCGCACCTGTTAGGGCAAATGGGAGGGCTCCAGGGAACGCTGACCCCGTAGGGCCCCTGGGGCAGTTGGTTCTGCACTATTTAGAACAATGGGAGATATGACGTTAAATAAATACACCGCCCACAACATTTCCAGTATCATTTTCCTCATGAACAATGTGAAGGAGAATAAATATCGAACAGGAAAACATAAGTTGGGGGTGTTGTGCTGGCAAACTGCTCTGTTCTCCTGTGGCTGTTATTTAATTGGATTTACATTTTGGTCCACCAATCACAGTTAAGTAAGGGATTGCTGATGCGCCAATATGTGCGACACACAATAAGGAAGCAAAAGGGATCCTGCGAGGGCCGCCTCTAATAGGGCCCCTAGGATCTGCCACCTGGGAGGCCCCTGGAGCCCCACCAACCGTGGGAGGAGCCCCAGGGGCGCCGCCGTCTTGGGAACGCGGGGGGACTCCACAGTTCCTGGAAAGAGGTCCTGGGGGAGTTGCCACAGCTAATGAGCCCAGGGCCCTAAGGATCACCGCTTTTGGGAGGGGCCCTTGGGGGCGCCGCTGCTCCTGAGAGAACCTGGGGCGCCACAGCCCCTGGAAGAGGCCTTGGGAGTGCTATAGCCTCTGGCAGGACCTATTGGGGCTCCACCTTCCCTGAAAGTGCCCTTGCAGGCGATGCCGCCCCAGGCAGGGCTCTTGGGAGCGTCGCCGACCCTGGTAGGGCCCTTGGGGTCACGACTGCCCTTGGGAGGGTCTTTGGAGGCACCGCCGGCCTTGAAAAGGGCCTCTAGGGACGTTGCCACCCATAGAGAGGGCCCATGGGGGTGCTGCCGTCCCTGGTAAGGCCCCGGGTGCGCCGTCGCCCCTGGAAGGCTCGTGGGGCCACCACCACCCCTGGGAGGGTCCTTGCAGGTTCGCCGGCCAATGGTGGGACTTTGGGGGCGCCCCCACCCGTGGGATGGCCCCTGGGGGGGGCCACTGCCCCTGGCAGGGTCCCTGGGATTGCCGCCACCCCTAAGGAGTACCCGCCTCCCGTGGTAGGGCTCCTAAAGACGCCGCCACCCTTGTGAGGGCTCCTTGTACCGCCTCAGCATCTGGGAGGTCCCTTGGGAGCGTCCACGCCCCTTGGAAGACTCCTGGGGCGCCATCGCCCTAATAGGGCCCCTTGAGACGTCACAGCCCATGTCAGGGGCGCAGGCGTCACGCTGCTGAGAGGGTCAGGAGAGTTTCTCCCACCCCAAGGAGAACCCCCAGGGGCCTGCTGCCCTTGGCAGGGCCTACTGTGCCCTTGCATGGGAGGACCCTGCGGACGCCAGACCCTCTGGAATTAGGCCCTGAGTATGCCACAGCCCCTGGCAGGGACACCTGTGGCCGCTGTTGGCCTGAGAGGGCCCGGGGCGCCAGCTAAGTTGGGCCCTTGGGGAAGCCACTGCCTGGAAGGGCCGCTGGGTCACGCTGTTGCCCTGGGAATGCCCCTGCGGCGCCGCACCTGTTGCAGGGCAAATGGGAGAGCTCAGGGAGTGCTGACCCCATGGGGTCCCTAGGGCAGTTGGTTCTGCACTGGCCCCAGAACAATGGGAGATATGACGTTAAATAAATACACTGCCCATCGCATTTCCAGTATATTAGCACCAAGAACAATGTAAAGGAGAACAAATATCCAACAGCAAAACATAAGTTGGGGTGTTGTGCTGACTGACTGCTCTGTTCTCCTATTGGCTGTTATTTGGTGGATTTACATTTTAGTCCACCAATCATAGTTAAGTAATGAATTGCTGGATATATGCAATATGTACGACACCACAACCAAGGAAGCAAAAGGGATCCTGCGAGGGGCCGCCTCTAATAGGGCCCCTGGGATCGCCGCCGCCTCTGGGAGGGCCCCTGGGAGCCCCACCAACCGTGGGAGGGCCCCAGGGGGCGCCGCCGCCCTTGGGAGGGCACGGGGGACTCCACAGTTCCTGGAAGAGGTCCTGGGGGGTGCCACAGCTAATGGTAGGGCCCCTAAGGGATCCGCCGCTTTTGGGAGGGCCCTTGAGGGCGCCGCTGCTCCTGAGAGAGACCTGGGGGCGCCACAGCCCCTGGAAGAGGCCTTGGGAGTGCTACAGCCTCTGGCAGGGCCTATTGGAGCTCCTCCTTCCCTGAAAGTGCCCTTGCAGGCGATGCCGCCCCAGGCAGGGCTCCTGGGAGCGTCGCCGCCCCTGGCAGGGCCCTTGGGGTCACGACTGCCCTTGGGAGGGTCTTTGGTGGCACCGCCGGCCTTGAAAAGGGCCTCTAGGGACGTTGCCACCCATAGAGAGGGCCCATGGGGGTGCTGCCGTCCCTGGTAAGGCGCCCGGGTGCGCCGTCGCCCCTGGAAGGCTCGTGGGGCCACCACCACCCCTGGGAGGGTCCTTGCAGGTTCGCCGGCCAATGGTGGGACTTTGGGGGCGCCCCCACCCGTGGGATGGCCCCTGGGGGGGGGCCACTGCCCCTGGCAGGGTCCCTGGGATTGCCGCCACCCCTAAGGAGGACCCGCCTCCCGTGGTAGGGCCCCTAAAGACGCCGCCACCCTTGTGAGGGCTCCTAGTACCGCCTCAGCATCTGGGAGGTCCCTTGGGAGCGTCCACGCCCCTTGGAAGACTCCTGGGGCGCCATCGCCCTAATAGGGCCCCTTGAGACGTCACAGCCCATGTCAGGGGCCCCTTGGGGCGTCGCTGCCCTTGAGAGGGTCCAGGAGAGCTTCTCCACCCCAAAGGAGAGCCCCAGGGGCCCTGCTGCCCTTGGGAGGGCCCCACGGGGCGCCGCCGCGCCTAGGAGGACCCTGCGGACGCCAGACCCTCTGGAATAGGCCCTGAGGATACCACAGCCCCTGACAGGGACACCTGTGGCCGCCGTTGCCCCTGAGAGGGCCCCGGGGAGCGCCGGCACCCCTAAGTTGGGCCCTTGGGGAAGCCACTGCCCCTGGAAGGGCCGCTGGGTGCGCTGTTGCCCCTGGGAATGCCCCTGCGAGCGCCGCACCTGTTAGGGCAAATGGGAGGGCTCCAGGGAGTGCTGACCCCGTAGGGCCCCTGGGGCAGTTGGTTCTGCACTATTTAGAACAATGGGAGATATGACGTTAAATAAATACACCGCCCACAACATTTCCAGTATCATCTTCCTCATGAACAATGTGAAGGAGAATAAATATCGAACAGGAAAACATAAGTTGGGGTGTTATGCTGACTGACTGCTCTGTTCTCCTATTGGCTGTTATTTGGTGGATTTACATTTTAGTCCACCAATCACAGTTAAGTAAGGGATTGCTGTTCGTACGCAATATGTACGACACCACAACCAAGGAAGCAAAAGGGATCCTGCGAGGGGCCGCCTCTAATAGGGCCCCTGGGATCGCCGCCGCCTCTGGGAGGGCCCCTGGGAGCCCCACCAACCGTGGGAGGGCCCCAGGGGGCGCCGCCGCCCTTGGGAGGGCACGGGGGACTCCACAGTTCCTGGAAGAGGTCCTGGGGGTGCCACAGCTAATGGTAGGGCCCCTAAGGGATCCGCCGCTTTTGGGAGGGCCCTTGAGGGCGCCGCTGCTCCTGAGAGAGACCTGGGGGCGCCACAGCCCCTGGAAGAGGCCTTGGGAGTGCTACAGCCTCTGGCAGGGCCTATTGGGGCTCCACCTTCCCTGAAAGTGCCCTTGCAGGCGATGCCGCCCCAGGCAGGGCTCCTGGGAGCGTCGCCGCCCCTGGCAGGGCCCTTGGGGTCACGACTGCCCTTGGGAGGGTCTTTGGAGGCACCGCCGGCCTTGAAAAGGGCCTCTAGGGACGTTGCCACCCATAGAGAGGGCCCATGGGGGTGCTGCCGTCCCTGGTAAGGCCCCCGGGTGCGCCGTCGCCCCTGGAAGGCTCGTGGGGCCACCACCACCCCTGGGAGGGTCCTTGCAGGTTCGCCGGCCAATGGTGGGACTTTGGGGGCGCCCCCACCCGTGGGATGGCCCCTGGGGGGGGCCACTGCCCCTGGCAGGGTCCCTGGGATTGCCGCCACCCCTAAGGAGGACCCGCCTCCCGTGGTAGGGCCCCTAAAGACGCCGCCACCCTTGTGAGGGCTCCTAGTACCGCCTCAGCATCTGGGAGGTCCCTTGGGAGCGTCCACGCCCCTTGGAAGACTCCTGGGGCGCCATCGCCCTAATAGGGCCCCTTGAGACGTCACAGCCCATGTCAGGGGCCCCTTGGGGCGTCGCTGCCCTTGAGAGGGTCCAGGAGAGCTTCTCCACCCCAAAGGAGAGCCCCAGGGGCCCTGCTGCCCTTGGGAGGGCCCCACGGGGCGCCGCCGCGCCTAGGAGGACCCTGCGGACGCCAGACCCTCTGGAATAGGCCCTGAGGATACCACAGCCCCTGACAGGGACACCTGTGGCCGCCGTTGCCCCTGAGAGGGCCCCGGGGAGCGCCGGCACCCCTAAGTTGGGCCCTTGGGGAAGCCACTGCCCCTGGAAGGGCCGCTGGGTGCGCTGTTGCCCCTGGGAATGCCCCTGCGAGCGCCGCACCTGTTAGGGCAAATGGGAGGGCTCCAGGGAGTGCTGACCCCGTAGGGCCCCTGGGGCAGTTGGTTCTGCACTATTTAGAACAATGGGAGATATGACGTTAAATAAATACACCGCCCACAACATTTCCAGTATCATCTTCCTCATGAACAATGTGAAGGAGAATAAATATCGAACAGGAAAACATAAGTTGGGGTGTTATGCTGACTGACTGCTCTGTTCTCCTATTGGCTGTTATTTGGTGGATTTACATTTTAGTCCACCAATCACAGTTAAGTAAGGGATTGCTGTTCGTACGCAATATGTACGACACCACAACCAAGGAAGCAAAAGGGATCCTGCGAGGGGCCACCTCTAATAGGGCCCCTGGGATCGCCGCCGCCTCTGGGAGGGCCCCTGGGAGCCCCACCAACCGTGGGAGGGCCCCAGGGGGCGCCGCCGCCCTTGGGAGGGCACGGGGGACTCCACAGTTCCTGGAAGAGGTCCTGGGGGTGCCACAGCTAATGGTAGGGCCCCTAAGGGATCCGCCGCTTTTGGGAGGGCCCTTGAGGGCGCCGCTGCTCCTGAGAGAGACCTGGGGGCGCCACAGCCCCTGGAAGAGGCCTTGGGAGTGCTACAGCCTCTGGCAGGGCCTATTGGGGCTCCACCTTCCCTGAAAGTGCCCTTGCAGGCGATGCCGCCCCAGGCAGGGCTCCTGGGAGCGTCGCCGCCCCTGGCAGGGCCCTTGGGGTCACGACTGCCCTTGGGAGGGTCTTTGGAGGCACCGCCGGCCTTGAAAAGGGCCTCTAGGGACGTTGCCACCCATAGAGAGGGCCCATGGGGGTGCTGCCGTCCCTGGTAAGGCCCCCGGGTGCGCCGTCGCCCCTGGAAGGCTCGTGGGGCCACCACCACCCCTGGGAGGGTCCTTGCAGGTTCGCCGGCCAATGGTGGGACTTTGGGGGCGCCCCCACCCGTGGGATGGCCCCTGGGGGGGGCCACTGCCCCTGGCAGGGTCCCTGGGATTGCCGCCACCCCTAAGGAGGACCCGCCTCCCGTGGTAGGGCCCCTAAAGACGCCGCCACCCTTGTGAGGGCTCCTAGTACCGCCTCAGCATCTGGGAGGTCCCTTGGGAGCGTCCACGCCCCTTGGAAGACTCCTGGGGCGCCATCGCCCTAATAGGGCCCCTTGAGACGTCACAGCCCATGTCAGGGGCCCCTTGGGGCGTCGCTGCCCTTGAGAGGGTCCAGGAGAGCTTCTCCACCCCAAAGGAGAGCCCCAGGGGCCCTGCTGCCCTTGGGAGGGCCCCACGGGGCGCCGCCGCGCCTAGGAGGACCCTGCGGACGCCAGACCCTCTGGAATAGGCCCTGAGGATACCACAGCCCCTGACAGGGACACCTGTGGCCGCCGTTGCCCCTGAGAGGGCCCCGGGGAGCGCCGGCACCCCTAAGTTGGGCCCTTGGGGAAGCCACTGCCCCTGGAAGGGCCGCTGGGTGCGCTGTTGCCCCTGGGAATGCCCCTGCGAGCGCCGCACCTGTTAGGGCAAATGGGAGGGCTCCAGGGAGTGCTGACCCCGTAGGGCCCCTGGGGCAGTTGGTTCTGCACTATTTAGAACAATGGGAGATATGACGTTAAATAAATACACCGCCCACAACATTTCCAGTATCATCTTCCTCATGAACAATGTGAAGGAGAATAAATATCGAACAGGAAAACATAAGTTGGGGTGTTGTGCTGACTGACTGCTCTGTTCTCCTATTGGCTGTTATTTGGTGGATTTACATTTTAGTCCACCAATCACAGTTAAGTAAGGGATTGCTGTTCGTACGCAATATGTACGACACCACAACCAAGGAAGCAAAAGGGATCCTGCGAGGGGCCGCCTCTAATAGGGCCCCTGGGATCGCCGCCGCCTCTGGGAGGGCCCCTGGGAGCCCCACCAACCGTGGGAGGGCCCCAGGGGGCGCCGCCGCCCTTGGGAGGGCACGGGGGACTCCACAGTTCCTGGAAGAGGTCCTGGGGGTGCCACAGCTAATGGTAGGGCCCCTAAGGGATCCGCCGCTTTTGGGAGGGCGCTTGAGGGCGCCGCTGCTCCTGAGAGAGACCTGGGGGCGCCACAGCCCCTGGAAGAGGCCTTGGGAGTGCTACAGCCTCTGGCAGGGCCTATTGGGGCTCCACCTTCCCTGAAAGTGCCCTTGCAGGCGATGCCGCCCCAGGCAGGGCTCCTGGGAGCGTCGCCGCCCCTGGCAGGGCCCTTGGGGTCACGACTGCCCTTGGGAGGGTCTTTGGAGGCACCGCCGGCCTTGAAAAGGGCCTCTAGGGACGTTGCCACCCATAGAGAGGGCCCATGGGGGTGATGCCGTCCCTGGTAAGTCCCCCGGGTGCATCGTCGCCCCTGGAAGGCTCGTGGGGCCACCACCACCCCTGGGAGGGTCCTTGCAGGTTCGCCGGCCAATGGTGGGACATTGGGGGCGCCACTGCCCCTGGCAGGGTCCCTGGGATCGCCGCCACCCCTAAGGAGAACCCGCCTCCTGTGGTAGGGCTCCTAAAGGCGCCGCCACCCTTGTGAGGGCTCCTAGTACCACCTCAGCATCTGGGAGTTCCCTTGGGAGCATCCACGCCCCTGGAAGGACCCCTGGGCGCCATTGCCCTTAATAGGGCCGCTTGGGACGTCACAGCCCCTGTCATGGGTCCCTTGGGGCGTCGCTACCCCTGAGAGGGTCCAGGAGAGCATATCCACCCCTAAGGAGAGCCCCAGACGACCCGCTGCTCTTGGGAATGTCCCAGGGAGCGCCGCCGCCCCTAGGAGGGCCCTGGGGACGCCAGAGCCTCTGGAAGAGGCCCTGAGGATACCACAGCCCCTAACAGGGACCCCTGGGGGCGCCGTTGCCCCTGAGAGGGGCCCGGGGAGCGCCGGCAACCCTAAATTGGGCCCTTGGGGAAGCCACTGCCCGTGGAAGGGCCGCTGGGTGCGCTGTTGCCCCTGGGAATGCCCCTGCGAGCGCCGCACCTGTTAGGGCAAATGGGAGGGCTCCAGGGAGTGCTGACCCCGTAGGGCCCCTGGGGCAGTTGGTTCTGCACTATTTAGAACAATGGGAGATATGACGTTAAATAAATACACCGCCCACAACATTTCCAGTATCATCTTCCTCATGAACAATGTGAAGGAGAATAAATATCGAACAGGAAAACATAAGTTGGGGTGTTATGCTGACTGACTGCTCTGTTCTCCTATTGGCTGTTATTTGGTGGATTTACATTTTAGTCCACCAATCACAGTTAAGTAAGGGATTGCTGTTCATACGCAATATGTACGACACCACAACCAAGGAAGC